TTATTATTATATCGTAAAGGTTTTTACATCTTCCAAATCTTCTTCTCCATCAAGTTTGATTCGATTGTTGCATGCTGTGTCGTATTGGAGAATCTTGATTTTCCGTTTGTGTATGTTGAGACCTACTGCTGCTAAGGCTGCTGATAAACTGGTCGCCTTCTCCTGAATTTGTTGTTGCGTGCGCGATAGAAGAGCCAGACCATATGTGAAGTTTGGATCGTCCAACTGCATTCTAGCTGTCCACTGTATCCCATGCTTTCTCTCAGATGTTGACGTCTTCGTAATAATGTCGATCGCCAGGAGAAAGATAAAGGTTGAGAGTAAGCAACCTTGCCTGACACCGGTCTTCACTTCGAACGACTTTGTCAACTGTCCTCCATGCACAATTTTGCAGTGTAATCCATCATATGAACTCTGTATGATATTGACTACCTTCTGAGGCACGCCGTAGTGTTGAAGAGGCTTCCATAGTGTTGCTCTGTCCACGCTATCAAATGCCTTTTCGTAGTCAATGAAGTTGATGTAGAGTGATGAATTCCACTCAATTGATTGTCACACAGTGATTCGTAGGGTTGCGATTTGGCCTGTACACGATCTATCCTTACGGAATCCTGCTTGTTGGTCTCGAAGTTGGGCGTCTACGCAGTCCTTCATCCTGTTTAACAATACCCTGTTGAAGACTTTCCCTGGTATTGAAAGAAAAGTGTTTTGGTACTTGTTCCTCATCCCAAATCTTATTGAAGAGAATGTGGAGCATCCTTGTAGTTACTGCTGCATCTACTTTCAGTGCCTCTGCTGGAGTGTTTTCTGGTCCTGTTGCTTTGCCACTCTTGATTTGTCTGATGGCCATGCCGATTTCTTCAGTTGTTGATGGGCCAACATTGATTGGGAGGTCCGTGGGTGCTGCTTCGATGTTGGGTGGGTTCAGTGGAGCTGATCGATTCAAGAGTTTTTGAAGTGTTCTACCCACCTGTTTTGCTGTTCTTCGATGATGGTGATTACTCTTCACTACTTGCTTTTCACTGATCGTTCTGGTTTACGATAATTTCCAGCGAGTTTCTTTGTTGTATCATACAATTGTCTCATGTGTCCTCCACTTGCAGCCTTTTTCGCCGTCATTGCTAAATCTTCCACATATTTACGTTTGTCAGTTCTGATTCTCCTCTTCACTTGCTTGTTTACTTCTGTATATTCAGCTTATGTCTTGGCTTTTTCTGCTCTTGTTAGACTGGTATTGTTTGCTGCCTTCTTGTTCCTCCTTTCTTGAATCTTATCCAGTGTATCAACAGTGATCCATTCCTTGTGACGGTGCTCCTTGTTGCCCAGAACCTCATGACATGTTGAAGTGATTGCTTCTTTTATCCTTTTCCGGCTGCTCTCCATAGTAGTTCCTTCTCCATTGAGTAGATCATGAAAGGCCTGGAATTTATTGATGAGGACTATCTTGAATTTGTTGAGTTTGTCAGTATCCTGAAGAAAAGCAATATTGAACTTTCGTGATATTGTCCGCCTCGTTGTCCGGTACTTCTTGAGTTGCAATTTCATCTTGGCGATCAGCAGGTGATGATCTGATGCTATATCAGCTCCTCTCTTGGTTCCCATGTCCTCTATAGTCCTCCTGAACTTTTTGTTGATGCAGATATGGCCAATTTGGTTTTGCGTGGTGTGATCTGGTGAAGTCCATGTGATTTAGTGTATGCACTTATGGGCGAATATAGTTCCGCCTATGACCAGATTATTGAAGGCACAGGTTTGCAAATCTCTCACAATTTTCGTTCCTTTCTCCCAGTCAGTCCATGTCGCCCTATGATGTCTTCATAGCCGGTGTTGTCCATTCCAACCTTGGCATTGAAATCTCCCATCAGAATGGTCAGGTCCTTTGTTGGGCACTTCGCGACGATTGACTGCAGCCTATTGTAGAATTGATCTTTAGCGTCTTCATTGTAATCGTTGGTTGGCGCATAGCATTCGATGACGTTCATTGTAATGCCTTCTTTCTTTGTTTTGAAGGAGGCTTTGATGATTATTGGTTCATGAGATTACCATCCTATAAGCATCAATGCAACTCCTTGTGTATGTGGAGCATTTTTTTCATCATGGCCAGATTATAACAGAAGCTCCCCTGAAGCTAGTCGTTGTTGTCCAACTTTTGTTCAATGTGTTTCACTGATCCCAAGCATCTCTAGGTTATATCTCCTCATTTCTGCAGCGATTTGGAAGACTCTCTCGGTCTCCCACATTGTACGAGTATTCCATGTACCTAAATAAATGGTTGCTCTGGTTGTCAGAAGGGGCCTCGGCCTCGTGACTTCCGAAGGAACTCGGCTTTCACCATGAGGCGTCATAACTCTTCTAAATGAAGACCTAATTCCCAGGACAGAGTTTAAAAGGTCTGAATAACTTTTTCTGGTTAGTGTTTTTTAGAGAGTTAGTTTTCTACAGGATGGGTCACTAACCTCATGCCCAACCCTCCTCCTTTATCCGGATTTGGGACCGGCAGCAGCCCCCAGAGGGACTCCAGGCGGAGTTAAACATCGTTCTTAAGGGCTTTCAAATGGTAAAAGTTCGGAGCAAAACGATCACCAAGCCACTCTGGGTGGTAAGGAAAGTTTCTCCACAAAAATTAAAGTTGTGCCTGCTTAATAAAATGGCGGAGCTTAAAACAATAATGGACACTGAAAACCGGATCTTACCGCTGTCTCAGAAACATGGTTATCGTTAGAAGTGTTCGGTGATGAAGTTCAGTTTACTAGTTTTCTATCCAGTAGGATTGATAGATTGGATCATAGGGGATTATTCTGTACACGAAAACCAGCTTAACCGTACGAGCAGTTGAGAAAGTCGCACATGATTCAAGGACATGTGAACTTATGCGTTGCAGGCTGTAGACGGTTGTGGTATGTTGCAGTCCAGAATGTGTAGCAGATTATTTTCTCCTAAGCAAACTTTGGTCCTGGTGTAATAGGAGTAAAAGTCTCATAGTAGACAACCTTAATGCACCGTACATAAACTGGGTAAACTTAAAAGTAGGGCCATCGAAAAGGCCATCTGATTGTAAACTGTTAGCACTAGCTTATTTGTAGCAAATTATAGATCCCACCAGATATGAATCACGAGGCTCCTCTTCTCTCTTGGACTTAGTCTTCACATATGGCCATGACGTCTGTCAATTGACTTCCATACCACCTCTAGGGAGAAGCGATCATGGAGTTATCTTATTCAAGGTTATTGCTGAGATGGACTGTCAAACAGTTGCTCCGGCCCGTCCTAACGTATGGAAGGCAGATAAATAGACGATAAACTCTGCACAATCCGCTAAAAACTGATCGACACAGCGGCCTCAGTAGAAAAGGCATGAACTCATTTCAGGCAGTTGTACAACCATGTAACTTAACCGTACATACCCTGGACAGTCCCGAAAAAGAAGAATAATAATAAGAAGCATAGTTATTAGTGTATAGGCCGGGATATTCGACGTTTACTAAGACAAAAGAAGAAACACGTGTATAATTAAAATTCGGGAAGCTCAAAGAAAATATGAAATGCATTTGGAACAATTTGCACTCAAGCAGCCTAAGAGAATATTCTCGTACATAAATTACGGAACAAGGATGCATCATTGGATCCCCGACTTATTAAAGAAGGGAGTGAACCTGAAAAGAGAGTGGAAGATCAAGAAGAGGCAGAGGCTTTGGCTAACTATTTTTCGATAGTTTTCACTCGGGAACCTCTTCTAGACGAAGAAATAGACCTAAATACAGAGTCAACAAGCCGCCCGCTCACCGTGGACTTTCATCAAGACGATGTACTTAAGGCTCTTAGCACCTTAGACATGGAAAAGTCAACAGGACCAGATAAACTACGCCACAAAATCTTGAGACATATTGCACAATACATCGCAACCCCACTCACCGTGATTTTCAATGTGTCACTTGACCGAGGTGTGTTACCTATGGACTGGAAGGATGCGATCGTCACTCCCATACATAAAACAGGACCAAGACAACTTCCATCGAACTACAGACCTGTCAGCCTCACCAGTGTTGTGATTAAAATACTGGAAAGAACAGTCAAACAGACCATAATGACATTTGTTAAACAATGAACAACATGGTTTCAGAAAATATTTATCTTACACAACAAAACTCTTTATAGTAAGGGACTACTGGATAAAGGCGCTAGACAACGGAAACTCAGTGGACGTTGTCTACACAGACCTCAGTAAGGCATTTGACAAGGTGCCAACAAATAGAATGCTATTGAGGCTAGAAAGTCTTAGCACTTCCTAAAATGGTTTAAGGATTTCCTAGTAGGTTGTACCCGTGATCTGGCCTCACAAGGATTTTGAGGTGACAGTGAGTTATGGTTTTAAGACCACGGCCCATTGCCGGAAGGTTGCAGCTAAAGGGTTTATAACCCTATGGGCCTTAAGACGGACATTCACCAAGTTAAATACTACCATGTTCCACCATGTTTCCATACTAGGGTGAAACGCCGTCCAGTGCTTCAAGGTTTTCTACGGTGGTCTAGCTTCAATCGACTCATGATTCTAGTCAGTGAAATTTCTTAAATCTTCACAAAATCCCTTCTGATAATAAACATCGGTTCACTGGTGACTGACTTCAAGAGATACTCCTGGAGTTCTAATGAGAAGCCGTTACCAGTGGAGTTCAACCAGATCTGTTGTGATATATCAACTCACTGAAGACAATGGTGTACGGCGGCGCGACTTCGTGGATTGGTTGAAGTTAGACATTAACACCGTTGGATACCGGCTAGCTCAGTGGTCTAGTTGTTTAAGCGCCTGGTGCGAGACTGATAGGTCCTGGGTTCTAATCTCGCGGGGTGTGGAATCATAGATGCGCACTGCTGAGGAGTCGCATACTAGGATGAATCGGCCGTCCAGTGCTCCCAGGTTTTCCATGATGGTCTAGCTTCAACTAACTCATGATTTCAATCAGTGAAAAATCTGTTTGTAAAAGTTTGTTAATTTAAGCAGCGCATTTTACAAAAGTTGTTGCTATAATCTGGGGATGGCCCAATGGATGGTTGGCAAGTCAATCTCGAAAGACCAGTTGAATCGTTTGCTTGAGCATAAGTACCACTGTGAAGGAGAAAGCATATGTGACAACCTACTTAAGGACTTTTGGCGGACATCTTCTCTGTATATACCGAGATATATTGCTCCAAATACTCTCACATTACTTGGTTTTCTCGCCAATGTATTTGCTTTATGCTTGCTTTTGTCTTATGGGGTATGCGAATGTATCAATCACATTTTTTAAGGCTTGTTTCTTCACCTCGTTGGTGTTTGTAGTGTGTGTATTCGCGTATCAAACTTTAGATGCCTTAGATGGCCTACAAGCTCGCCGTACAGGGTCGTGCTCTCAGCTTGGTGAACTGTTCGACCATGGTTGTGATGCTTTATCCACATGTAATTCTATCTATACGGTCTAACAGCTTAGGCATCCTCCCCATAAGTTATTTCATCATCATTGGTTTTGATGACTGGCCTATGTTGATGTTCATACAATACTTCTGCATCCAAGCTTTATTTTATGTAGCCCATTGGCGGTGTTACGTCACGGGAGTTCTTGCATTTGACCGGTAAGTAGGCATAATTTTAGAGTTTTGCAGAGTCGGAGTGACAGAGGGACTTTTAATTGGAATTTTATTTGGGACGATATCTTCAATATTCGGTCCATCTATTTGGAGTATAAAAGTGAGTTTTGTTTACTATCCTTAGTGAACCCTTCCTTTTACTCACAAAGAATCTTATTTTATATTTTCCAAAACTGATTTAGTCGGACTTAGTCCTGTTAGAACCTATTACGTAGTTGTTTCGCGAGAATTTTTGACCGCTAAAAACACTGGTTTTTACGTATAAATACAAAAAGATTGCGGGAAAAGTAGTCCCTATTGATTTCAAAAGTGAGAATACGGTAAACGAAAACCACTGTCAGTATAATTGATCTCTGATATTTAGATTTCATGGTAATAATTATTCCGTCAAGATGACTTCCTCTTATTTTCATTTCACTAATGCTAGTTTTGTTACATTTGAAAGATTTTGTAAATTACCCTTTTGAGCTATGGGAAAGGATCGTTACTAAAAATGCCAGTTGTTTGTGGAAAGCACTATTTCCACTACAAACCAGTACGGTTGAAAGTACGAATTTGCCTTCCAACCTTAGATTTATCGCTTTTGATCTTACCGTTACCCCTGGTGAAATTTCAAGGAATGTTCCAGCCAATATAACTTAACGGTTGTTACAATGAACAAGGTCAAATCCTGCTTCAAAATAACTGTAGTTACGACCAGGTTGTTTGCCGTCCATCTAAAGTCGGTTCAACCAATGTTTTTTTCCACGTTGATGCTAGCAAGTTAAGGTTCTTGCGAAACGTAATCATTTAATGTAACACTGGTATCCAAATGATCTTTACATAAAAAAGCTCTGTTAATTACTTGTCTTCTCAACATAAATGTAAAGCTCTTTACATGGTTGGTGTTAGACTACCGTATGAGGCTGATCCTACAAATCCTTTTTAAGACAATTTCCCTTGAATAATTGCTTTTCAAATGTGTACATTTCTCACATATGTATATTTCATAGAGTATTGATAAACTAGATAATCATGAGCGTGAATTTTCGGAAGTCGGGGAGGGATTGGTTTTTATTGCTTCTGGTTAGCGGAATATGTAGCATGCATTCAGAAAATATTAGTTCGAGTTAAAGGATCAAGTAATACATTGTTCTATAGTAGGAACATTGATACCCAGTTGTATCATTATATATTAAATAAGTAAATACGGGACTTGCACATAACTAGCTGTGTAATTCATTTATTTCAAATCTTAACACATCCACAGTGTTAGACTGTTTTTTATCAACCTGGATCTCGGAGACTCAACATGGGTGTAGTTCATGAATAAGGGCATAAACTTTGAGTTTCTTAGAAAGTACATCGTTATTAAAAGTTATATTGCTGTTGTCCTCAGACAGTTAGTCATCTACAACGTAGGACCAGGCACATATGCATCGGTCCAAGTTACCATACCTCACTCGCGCAAGATGAACACTAAATTCATAAAGGCAGTTATTCGAATGGTAGTAATATATAAAGATTGCATATGGGGATATGATACGGGGAGGAAGAATTATTTCGTAGAAACAGACGTATGGACTGGTTTTAATTTCACGGTTTAAGGGAAGACGAAGAGTGTATACACCGACGCCATTGTGATCGATACCGAGCCATGTCATTCAGTCTCCAACCAATGGTTTCGACAGTGATGAGAACCCCAACCAAGTAGTCTGCATATACCAACATGGCTCGGACTAGAAGTTAGTGACTCCAAGAACTGATGCCACGTTTTGGTTTGGCCACCCCTAACTTTCTTCTATTCGGCGGTGGTCTGTTAATGTTCTCATACTTAATCTGTCTAAACGTCAAGCTATTAACTTTAGCCTGAGGCATGAACAGCACTTAAACACCATTTTGGGATCACATAGTGCTTGTGCCGTTGGAGACTCTTTGATAAACACTGTGTCGAAGGTCAATTATCTTGGTGTTATCTTTTCCCCTGATCGCTCTTGGTCTTATGTTTTATTGTTATCGAAGAAACTTTTTCGTCTGACTTACTACATGCAGAGGCTGCATGCTCTTGCGATTACTCGTCATTTACTCTTACAATTTTTCAGTTCCTGCATATTACCTATTATTCTTTACTGTTCACTATTCTTTCTCGGGTTTTTGAGAAAAGACTACCGTATCGCGGAGAGTGCTGAAAGTAGTTAGCACGGTACTATCTTATCAGATACTAACTATCCCCTTCATTCATATCTTTCTCCCTTTATATCTTCTGGTAGAACGAGACGTCAATATTTTAGAATCCATGCACGCAAACAAACGTATAAAAGTTCTATAATACCTTACCGAGCAAATATACTCTGTGACGAACAGGTTGTTATGATTGGCCTAGTCAATTACCTGTATCCTTAAACATGTCTATAATTGAAAATTTGTACAGACCCAGATCTTTTTTCACCTTTTTCCTTTTGTTGTTTTTGTTTTTGTAAAAGAAACTCGTTAAAATACCTCGTGCTGAGAATTTTATATTGTACCAAAATATAATATTGAATAAAACGAATAATAATAATCAATTCCTGAAAATCCAGTCGATGAGAACGTTATTTTCAACAGTAGGTCTGTGATGGAATTAAACAAAAATGGAGATAGTGAATGGCCTTGCCGGATATCATTTGAGGTTTCAATATCAAATGACAGCTCGCCATAAGCTCTGATTCGATTGGTAATGTTCGAGTGATTGCGACCAGTCAGATGGGAGTACGTCCAATTCCCAGATTTTAGCTAAATCATTAGTCAACTTAGTCACTAAAACTGAACCACCATCATTAAAGACTTCTGGACCAGCCGCTTTTTCTTGTTTTAGATTAGCTATAGCTTTTCGAAGTGATTATGATTACGGTGGCCTTAATTGTTGCTACAAGTATAAGGTCAGTTATCACTTCCCGGATGCTTACATCATGGAAGGATTCTTCTATAGGTATCTGAAAAGGAAATTGGGTTAGAGTTGGTCTTAGTGACCTGAGGGCGTGACCGCATTGTCCAAAGGACAACTGCTTGTGGCCGGTCACGTAGATCTTTTTGTGAGTAGCTCCGTATTTGTTGGGACCTTACCACCGGAGACGAAAATCCGTGGGATAAGGCAAGCTGTGCATTTTTGGGGTGGACGTTTTTTAACAACACTCTTCCTTTGTGTGAAGGTAGCATCCCTGTTATGTTGGTTGTCTGAGGGAAACACCTTACTGCTGTCAATTCTCTGTACGGTCTGCAGTACGACTTCGCCCTCGGACCTTACGTTTGCTGCTTTTAGTCCTGCCACTCTTCAACCGAGCTGCCTGACATGGCAGGACATTGGGTAACGATTGTTCCATTAAGTATAGCTCGATTGGTTCACTACGATAGGCAAACCACCACGTCAAGGTAGCAGCAACGGTCAATCCCTAGCTCCCAGTATACTTTTTTTAGAATCATTTTCTTGTCAAGGTTGTATAGAAATTTGGTAAGATTATCTTATCTCTTCTAACTTTCCGTACTGTTTTGTTTTGGTAATATTTGATTTCTTTTTGTGACTTATCATGAATGTTTTGTTATGCTGCAATCTTTGTATAGGATCCACTTCTCGGTTTGGAACTCAAGGTTGTTCAGTTCCTCGTGTTCTCTGTTGTCATGTTTTTTCTGGCGGTTCAGTTCGCTGATACTATTTCTCAAGGTGGTTGTGGTAAATACGGGACAACTGTTGCTGTGAGTTGATCTCAAAGTTTGAAATTTTGCGTTTAGAAATACAGCCAGTATGTATTTAAGCTAGGGACACTTCACATAATCACTTTTAAAAATGAACGAAGGATTAAGGATTCTTTAAAGAGTATGTTCTGGTTTCCAATATGTTACTGAAAGTTTAGGGAAAATAGAATCTCTGTTTTATTTCTTTCGTTCTGTACTATTTTATGGAACTAACTACCATAGAATAAGTATAGCTCAAAGTTGTATACGGAAACCCTTACTTGGTTACTTGTTATTTATTTGAACATATAAATATTGGTACAAGGGGGCACCAAATATACATGCGCCACACAAAACAGTGAAAATGGGAAGAGAAAAAAAGGAGGGTAAGAAGTGTGAAAGAAAAAAAGAACAATAACGGCGAGATTAGTGTAAGGTGGTATAAAATAATAATAATAATAGTAATAATGGGGGAAACGGAAAGGTACAACCAGAAGAAATCTTTCAGTTAAGGAAGATACAACCACCTTTTATGAAGAAGGTAAAAGAAGGTTACAGCAGGATCGCCACTGGCTTCTACTCTGGGCCATGTCTGATAACGTCTTTAGTCACTGTGTTGCACCATCTCTCGGACCCCAGTCAGGAGCCAGGGAGTCGTGAAGGACCAACAAAAGCCAGCCCTTTGCAGCTTTCTTTTATACCCCGACACCATGTCATACACTGACCACCTCTCACCTTTTTCCAACCAGTCCCAGCGTCAGCAAATAATGCACGACGTGGAATTTTCTGGTATGACACTCGTAGAACATGTCCAAGCCACTGAAGTCGATGTTTCAAGATGGTGACACCAAATGGATCGTCATCTCTGTGCCCGAACACACGATGCCGAACCTCTGCATTACTAACATAGTGTTGCCACTGGACGTCAGTAATCCTTCGGAGACAACGATGATCAAACACAGAGCCGTCTAACATTCTCAACTCGGAGAGGCCAGGTTTCACAAGCATAGAGCGAAACTGCTCTCACCGACGCGTTGTAGATCAGACGTTTTACAGCCAGACAGACATCACGAAGGCGCCAAAGATGGCCCAGATTGGCGTAAGCCGCTATGGCTTTCATTATACGTGGATCGACCTCATCACTCACGCCACCACCAGCACTTATACAGCTACCTAGATACACGAACTTCTCGACTACTTCTATCTGCTCATCATCCAGGGTGAGTACAGGATTAGAATCCTGCCAGTCTTGTAGAAGTGCTTTGCACTTCGAAGGTGCAAATTCTGATCTCTTGAATTCTCCATGTCTCTTTTTTTCTCTTTCCAAATTTATTTCACTGGATTATACTCTTTAAATAACATTTTCAAACCCTAATCTTTCCGATTACTGCTTATACTCTTACCGCCTCCATCACTATGGGATTTGAATGGACGACCGCATCTTTGTGCTCATGTGGTGTGGCAACTCGAGCTGATGTACGTACGTACGAAGTTCTACGTTGTTACTGACCGACTGACTGAGGTGCAAAGCACATACCGTACCTACGGACATTGATTGCCAACTGATTAAGTGGGGATTGCATGGCTTGGGCATTATCGCACAGTAAGACAATATCGTCCGCATACTCAAGGTAGAGAAGTCTTTCTCCAGGCAACAGATCCACACCACCATTACTTGCATCCATCAGAGTTGTTTCCAGAATGTCATCAATGGCAAAGTTGAAGAGGAATGGTGAGATTGGGCAACCCTGCCTAACCCCACTGCTCGAATAGAATAATGGGGAGAGGTGGTTGTATGAGCTCACTCTGCCCGAGGCGTTTGTATATAGTGCCTTCAAGGTGTTAATAAACTTCCCAGGCACACCCTCCTTCAACAGACAATCCCAGAGAACAGTCCTGTCCAAAGAATCGAAGGCAACCTTGATGTCAAGAAACACCACGATTGTTGGCCTGTGATAAGTATGACAGTGTTCTAACATTTGGCGGAGGGTGAATACATGATCACTACATCCTCGACCAGAACGAAAATCAGCATTATCCTCTCGAGTCAATCTTTCTCGGGTTTTGAACAACCTACGAAGTATGACGGAAGCCAATAGCTTGGACGCAATCGGAAGTAGACTTATCCCCCGATAGTTGTTTCAGGAACGACGTGAACTCTTTTTAAAGATAGGGACAACTATCGACTCATCCCATGACGTTGGCACACTCTAGTTCCCAGACCTTTGTAAAAAACACAGTTCCTTAGCCAGAAAGTCACCACCATCTTTAAAAAGAGCCGGAGGTAAGTCATCTGGACCCGGTGATTTGTAGCGCCTCATTTGGTGGATCAGTCGTCACCGGCCATGGAGGGCAGGACAGTCTGACCGATGTTGCTGGAGCAGCAGGCCAGTTGAACTGCCCTCCGAAGAATTCTGCCCATCGTTCAAGACGTCCATGGATGTTAGTGATTGGCATCCTGTCATCCTCGCACCCGACCGTTGTTGCTACCTTGACGTGGTGGTCGGGCTTGCCTATCGTGATGAAGCAACCGAGCTATACTGGCTGGAACAACTGTTCCTTAAGGTCTTACCATGTCAGACAGGTCGGTTGATGAGCGGTAAGACTAAAAGCAACAAACCCAAGGTCCGGAGGCGAAATCGTACTGCTGACTGTAGAGGGGTGTGACAACAGTAAGGTGTTTCCCTCGGACAACCAGCATCTGCAGCGATGCTACCTTCCCACAAGGAGGGGTGGGGCTGGAAAAGGTCGACCCTAAAAATGTCACACCTCACCTTACCTCACGGATTTCCGTCTCCGGCGGTAAGGCCCTTTGAAGAACGGAGCTAACACATTAAAGACCTTCCACGAAAAGGTCGTGCGCGACCGGCCTCAAGCAGTTGTCCGCTGGGCTCTGCGGTCACGCTCCCAGGTCGTTAAGACCAACATTAATCCAATTTCCTTTTCAGGTTCCTCAAGAAATACCCTTCCACGGTGTGGGCAGCCGGGAAGTGACACCAGCCCTCATACCCGTAACAGCACACGAGACCAAGTTGGTCACATTCAAATCCTTCCTACACCTCTTAATACCTCTCTTATCTCCATGACTAACCCTCCTCACGTTTCTTTATCATCTCGCACCGCTAGGGCAAACGATTCGAGTACGCTGAACGCTATTCCTGGTCTCCTGAAACCACGCTCTAAACTACACGTAGGAGCTTTTAACGTCCGAACACTGCCAAATAGGACAGCAGGCTTCCTTAGCTAGGACTTTAAAATCCCGCGCCATCGATGTGTGCTGCGTCTCCGAAACGCGCATACAGGATCCGAGTAGCGTCATTCATTTGACCTCACCATGCCAAAATAAAGAACCGTCTCGATTCACACTTCGTGTATCTGGAAGCCCATATGCTGCTTCTCGTGGCCTCGCCGGCGTAGGTATAGCATTGAGTCCTAGGGCAGAACTAGCTCTCTTAGAGTGGATCCCAGTAGACAGTCGTTTGTGCGCTGTCCGACTAAACAGAACAGTAAGGATCCGAAAAGATAGGGACACTCGTTGTTGCCTCTTCGTCGTCTCTGCCTATTCTCCCACTGACTGCAGCGCAGATGATGTAAAAGATGAGTTTTACAGAAAGCTCTCCGACCTTCTCCGAAAAGCTAGGCGCTCGGATGTACTAATAGTGGCCGGTGACTTTAATACTCAAGTAGGTAAACTAAGCGATAGGGAAAGACACCTGGGTGGATCTTATAGCATCTTGGCTCAAAGAACAGATAATGGCGACCGTCTGTTGCAGCTATGCTCAGATAACCGCCTGTTCCTTGCAAATACTAACTTTAAGCATAAGGAAAAACATCTTTTAACATGGCGACCCCCTAATTCGTCCCAACGTTGGACCCAAATAGATCACATCGCTATCAGCCACCGATGGAGGGGCTCGATAGAAGACTGTCGCTCATTCTGGATCACATGCTTAGATTCAGATCATGCTCTAGTACGAGCGCGTATCTGTCTGCGTCTTACTGGACGCAGGAAGACGCTGCAAGAAAACCTCCTAGGGGCCTACTTAATGGTAGTCCAGCTAAGAGTATATTTCAGGAACAACTAGGAAAACAGTTAGGCAGCCATATAGGTGATGCCCACTCCGAGGCGGCATGGAATGATATCCGAAAAGCTGTGGAAACAGCAGTGATATCTGCTAGTATGGTAACCCGTAAGGTTAGGGAGCAACACTGGATCTCAACAGCATCTATCGCACTGATAGATGCTCGGAAACTCATTCCACCTGGCTCTGAACATAATGAGGAGCGGAGTCAGCTTAAGCGCAAGCTGACAAGAAGTCTACGCAATGATCGTGAACAGTGGTGGGTAGCGAAAGCAAGAGAGATGGAAAAGGCAGCTGCAATAGGTAATAGCAGACAATTGTTCAGACTCGTTAAAGAAACCGGTATTAGGAAACCGACTGTTAGCGAAACAATCTCAGAGAAAGATGGACATATTGTACATTCTCAATCCAGGAGATCGAATCGATGGGCAAAACTTTAGGGATCAGTTCAACTGGTCTTCAGCCACACTTCGGTTTCCCACGATCTCCAGTCAACCTGAATGGCAAGTTAATGTAGGTCCTCCGTCTCTTTACGAAGTTGAAAAAGCCATAGGAAATCTGAAGTGAGGGAGAGCAGCAGGCCCTGACAGGTTCACTCCTGAGATTTTTAAGGATGGTGGTTCAGTATTAGCAGTGAGAATAACTGAGGTCTTAGGTAGAATTTGGGAACTGGACGTAATCCCATCTGACTGATCTCAATCACTGATTGTGCCAGTCTATAAGAAAGGACAAAAATCCCCTTGTGACAATCACAGAGGAATCAGTCTGACTAGTATAGTGTCTAGAATATTAGTTTCAATAATACTTCGACGCCTAACCAAAAGCTCGTGAAGAACAGAATAGAGAAAATCAGGCTGGTTTTCGACCTGGACGTGGTTGTATAGACCACGTATTCACACTACGTCAGGTTCTAGAACATAGACACACATTCAGGCGCCCCACAATCGTAGTATTTCTCGACCTTAGGGAGGCATTCGACTCTGTTGATCGTGAGGTTCTATGGCAGTGTTTGTCACTGAAAGGAGTACCAAAGAAGTACAGTAATCTTATAAAGGCTCTCTACTCGAACACGACTGGTAGAGTGAGAGCTTATGGCGTACTGTCATCAGAATAGGTTACCTCAAGTGGTGTTCGTCAGGGCTGTTCACTCTCTCCATTCTTGTTTAACTTTGTCGTTGACGTGCTTTTAGTGATGACACTTTCCTCATCTAAATTTCCAGTGGTTAAACTTCTACCAGGAGATTCACTTGTTGACTTGAAATATGCCGATGACATAGTTGTATTTGGTGAAGACGCTGACAAAATGCAGAGTCTTCTGACCACTCTAAGCAACAATGCGAGCATGTTCGGGATGCGATTCTCCCCCTCGAAATGCAAAATGTTACTTCAGGATTGGGTTGCATTGACACCCGTACTAACGATAGGGAGTGAAGTAGTTGAGCGTGTCGACCGCTTCATTTATCTTGGAAGTCTCACCAGCGCTTGTGGTCTGGTGTGTGAAGAAACCTCAACACGGATGCAGAAGGCTCGACTAGCTTTCGCCAACTTGCGTCATTTATGGGGTAGGCGAGATATCCGTCTACCAACCAAAGGACGGGTTTACTGAGCAGCAGTTCGTTCCGTCCTACTTTATGGCAGTGAAACGTGGCCGGTAAGAGTAGAGGATATCTGTAGGTTACTAGTATTTGATCATAGGTGTCTTCGAAATATTGCTCGTATATCCTGTGACGATCGAGTAAGTAATACAGTTGTTAGGAAACGGGTACTATGTGAGGATGGCAAATCAATTGATGACGTAGTGAAACTTTATCAGTTGAGATGGCTGGGACACGTGTTACGTATGCCCAACGACCGACTGCCTCGACGTGCGATGTTCATTGGTATAGGAGTAGGTTGGAAGAAAGCCAGGGGCGGCCTGACTAAAACATGGCACAAGTCCATGAAGTCACTGACAAGTGGACTGAGTCATGTCGGTAGGTGTAGACTACCTGGTTGGGGACCGCGAGATGATAGCAATCGATTGTTAGAGACCTTGAATGACATGGTTCAAAATGGTTTGCAATGGCGCAGGTGCATACACTATTTATGTTCTCCCAAATTTTGATCTCCTTATTCCTCCTTGTCTCTGTTTTTTTTCTCTTCCCAAATTTATTTCACTGGATTATACTTCTTAAATAACATCTTCAAACCCTAATGTTTCCGATTACTATTTATCACCTCTACCACTACGGGATTTGAATCGACCACTGCATCTCTATGCTAATGTGGCGTGGCAACTCGAACTGATGTACGTACGTACGAAGTTCTACGTTGTTACTGACTGTCATCCTCGCAGATTGTTTCCCTCACACCAGACTTGTTGCTTCCAGTTGCTTGGATGATTTGGAAGAGCTTCTGGTAGTTACCAGATGCAGCTGCTGCTTCCAGCTTATTAGCACGCTCCGACCACCAGGCTTCTCGGTCCTTACGCAAGTTTTGCCCGATTTCCTTACGTAACGCCCTTCGTTTGTGGTCAAACTCACGGTCACCCGGAGTAGACCGACGGGCTACGATGAGTTGTAAGGAGCCTGAAGAACCCCAGTGCTTATAAACGGGGCATTTCGTGAAGCCTCATGCGGCTTTGCTCGTCATTTTCATGGCGTCATGCAATTGCAACCAATGCTCATCTATACTTTTCGGTGGAATTTTAGCTAGCTTAGAAACTAGCTCGGTTCGATACTTACTTGCAACAGAAGTTGCAACCAGCTTGCTAACATCAATCCGTTGGTGGCGGTCACTTCGTTGTCCACTGAAAAGTAAGGTAAGAATGGCGCAGACCAAGGCATGGTCAGAGTCCAGATAGGTACTCCAAAAGGAGCGGCAGTGCCGAAAGTTAGTGCTAGCCAGAAACAGGTTGTGGTCTGTGCAGAGTTGCAGCAGACGGTCCCCGTTATCTGTCCTGCGACCAACGAGTCCTCATCGGCCACCTAAACGATTCCCTTCTGTGTCTAGACGCCCGATCTGAGCATTCAAGTCTCCGGCTAGTACTACAATATCTGTCGAACGCACTTTCTGGAGAAGAACAGTTAACTGGTGATGGAATTCATTCTTGATTGCATCCGGGCTGCAATCTATCGGGGCATAAGCGGAGATGACGAAAAGACATCGTTTCTCACGCCGATTTCTTCTCACTTTGATGGAACTCTCTAATCTAACAGCACATAACTGACTGTTAATGGTGATCCAATCGATTAGTGCTGCCTCAGCTCTAGCGCTTAGTGGGATACCAACGCCAGCACGACCAGACAAAGATGCCACAGGGTCCCCAGATAAGCGCACGTAAAACAAGCTTTTTGAAGCGACAGATGGAGAGCGAATTTGTAGTACTTCACCAGAGTCTTGAATACGGGTCTCGGATAGACAACAAACATCGATATTAAGACTTTCTAAAGACATAGCCAGCCCTATCGGGTGTCCAACCTGCATAAATGTGCGAACGTTGAAGGCAGCCAGTTTGAATGGTGCACGTGGTTTCAGAAAAACTGCCTCGGTATTCGTATTCGGTGGTAGCATACAATTGTCAACCAGGCAGTGGCTCGAGAACGTTTAGATAGAACCGAGTTTCCACTATGGGCGGGCTGCTGTATACGTCGAAAAATAAGGATACACAAAGTGGGAATAAAAGAGTGAATAAGTGACTTGGTAAATAATAATAATAATGTGAATTGTTTGACTGTTAGTTGAAGTGTGAATAGAATTTTCAGTAATTGTCGTCATTTTCATTTTATTTGTGTGTGAACTGTGATACTGTCCGGGTGCCCATACCGAAGCAGGTGGTTTTCTTAGGGGGCCACACCCCGAACCTTTGACCTAAATGTCTGACCCACAAGGCAGTGGAGCATCATGAGGAGATGCAGTCCCATGGTGGACGGTGACCAACGATTGGTTCATACACCGTTTGTTCCCTCAGGATACTGGAGCCCATGTCCACCATTGGTTTGGGATCCGGTTAAAGCGCCGGACATTCACTTTTCGTCCTCTCATTTTCGTAAACAACACCCCCGCCACGAGAACGCAGTGAATAGGACTTCCCTGGCAGAGGCTATATACGCGTGGCCGTGTGAGAGCATTTCGAGAGGGAGGACAGGCCCACTCCACTCAGCCATACCAGGGCATTTGGGCTCTAGTTACTTGTTTGCATCACTCTTCAAATACATTTCGATACATTCCAAACATCGATTATGTGAATAAAGGGTGAGATATAATTCCCCGTTACTCTTTAAGTTCGGCTAGTTGAATCAGAGTGATCTGTTTTCCACTACATTTTCGTATTTGATTTCCAGTTCAATAAACCTTAGTACAAACTTTAATATGCTATCCGCTAACTTTTATATTGTGTAGTTCAGAACACCAATATGATTAGTTGTTGTATATGACCAATTTTTTTACATAAACAAGTTCTTTTCAGTAAAAAATAAATTGTAAACATGTTGGGTGGGCTCGTTTTTAGTTTTTATTGATTTGTTGAATTCTATTTGTTAAGAGCGTAATAATTAATGATCACACTTTTCACCTCTGTTTTAGAATACTAGTGTGCTATTTCCAGTTTGCCCTCTTACACTTGCACTTGGTTTTCCTGTTTTGGTTGCTATTAATTCTCCGGTAAATCTTTATCACCAATCACCTTTTATTTTCCTGTTGACGTTTGGGATCGTTTCAGCAAAAGTTTCTCAACGTTTAGTGGTAAGTATTATCTAGCGAATAGAAACTTTATTTACTTAACAGTAAAGAAGTGATTTCCATTAACGATGAAAGTAAGGACTACAAGTCTTTATCTAATTCATGTAATTTGATAGTATGTATTAAAATTCTCTTATCAGTTAACCCCTTTTTTACTGGGACTACTTACGATTCTCGTAACAGTGTACTTGGAGAAACTCTTATTGTCATATATGTCCTATAATTTTTGTCCCTCTTTATACGACGTGTTTCGTTTAATAATTTTCGTAAAAATATGAGAAAAGTTTTAGGGGAATACAGTGAGTACTCCATATTTTAAGGTTTCCCTCTTTTTAGTTTCAATTGGCATGAAGAATATGTCACTAAAATTAGAACACGCACTTACTGTTCGGCAAAATAGATATGACAATTGAAACACTAGGGAAAGTCATATTTTAAGTTGATAGCTGACCGATGAGCGAACTTGTGTTTTATGGGTGGAAAGATGATGACAGTGACTCTCGATGTAAGTCACAGCAACACAGGCAAAATAACTCGTAAAAATTAATTAAACATCCAATATAATTTAAAAGTAGAGAAGGTTAAAGTTGCCAAAAACGTGTTGTAATCTACAAAAAACTGCAGAAGGTGGCCTGCGTTATTTGATCCGGGACTAACCATCAATCTTTAAAACTATTCCTCTTTGTGGTCACGAGGCCAACCTTAAATTCGCAATGTCTGTTGAGCCTATAGTAATACTATCAGCAGGGATGATTAAGTATGGATGACATGATTCAAGGATAAAGAATAAATTCATAGATAATTTAGAAATTCAGGATTTAAGAGGTGATACAGAGTAAATGCATCTGCGCCACTGCCACCAATTCTGAGATATGTCATTCAGCATCTCCCACCATTGGTGACGATGGCTTCAATTCAAACAATATTTCTTTTTAGGTATTCGTTATCTTGCATACAAATTTTCCCTCATTTTTTATGTACACAGCGAGTGTAAATGAATAAAAAAAGTATTTAGCGACCGTTAGTTGTTAGATCTATATGTACTAGTAACTTACTGTTTTTATATTCAATCTCATTTCATTGAATTTGTGTTTTATTCGATCTATTGACTATACCATTATATACAGTATCATCATCTTGAGTTTTCTATTGAAGTTATTCCACGTGACGATTTGTAGTCAATACATACTCTAAGTAGTTCTAAAGTACCAAGATAATGACAGACAATTAAATAGTTTTCATCCTGTTGCTTGAGTTTTTGTTGGCTAACGGAGGTACTTGGCTCTCTAGATAGTTGGTTTTGAAACCATTAAGCTATGGTTTTAAATTCGGCACCCATTAGACAAGTAGTATTAATCGTTATTTTTCAACATTAATCATAACTTAGTGATAATGGAACGTGTACATATCCATATGTTACTATTTTAAATTTTTTTGTATTCCAAATCTAATTTTATCACCTCACCTTTTGTTGCTATTCGTTTTTATTGTTCCAACTCGATTTTGCTGATCTAATTTAATTTTATAGATTGCTCATATGACTAAAAGTGCTATCTATTTGTTTGACGCGGTTATGTTTGGGGCAGCTTTGTTAGTCATTAATCAATATTTTTCGTGTCCCTTGCCTGAAGTATTAGTTCTATGGATATCTTTGGTGAGTTAGTGTTGGTTTTCTTAATTACCTTTATGTGAAAAATTTCACTGATAAATCGTATACTTTTTTCTGTATATCGTTTATTTGCTAACACTATAAGCCAATTAAACTGGGGAGTTGGGTTGTGAAAAATCATATGTATGGGTGACTATTGCGTCTCAGTGACATGTAAAACTGAAACATTGGAAACATAAAATTTCGGGTGAGCTCATAATAGTAAGAGAAAGCCAAGGCACAGGTTGAATAAGCAAAAGTAAACGAGCGACTAAAAATGAGCATTAGAACCCATAAGCAGTAGTACATTGAAGACCTAGCAATGACAGCGGAAAAGGCTACAACAGAACTCAAATGGGTCAACTATATGATACAAAGAAGAAACTGACAGGGAAATATAGTAAGCCAAAGCAACCAGCCAAAAACAAAGAAAGCGAGACAATCACTGAGATTCGCGAACACCGGAACAGATGGGTAGAAAATTTTTAGAACTAAATAAACCAGCCACACTGAACTCACACAGACTTTATAGCTGCTACCCCACCTACAATTGGAGAAATCAGGATGGCTGTCAGACAAATCAGGAGTGGAAAAGAAGCGGGTCTTGACAGTATACCATTTGAAGCACTGATGTTAGATATAGAGATGTTGCAAACATGCCCCTCAGAAAGATTTGGGAGGAAGGACAATTGCCAACAGACTGGGAAGAAAGGTACCTCATCTAGATACTCAAGAAATGAGACCTCAGCTTGTGTGAGGACTATAGACGAATCACACTACCATCGATACCAGGAAAAGTCCTCAACAGAGTGTTGCTGAACTGGATGGAAGATCCAGTAGACTCCCTGCTTCGAGATTGATAGGTCGGATTCCGTAAGGATCAGTCGTGCACAGACCAAATCATGACACTATAGACGATCGTCAAACAATCATTTGAATGGAACTCGTCACTATACATCACTTTCCTTGACTATGAGAAGGCGTTTGACAGCGTGGATAGGGGAACATTGTGGAAACTTCTTCGACACTATGGAGTACCTGAGAAGATCGTCAACACTATCCGGAATTCATAAGACGGACTGCAATGCAAAGTCGTGCATGGAGAACAGCTGACAGATGCATTTTAAGTAAGGACCGGAATCAGACAAGGCTGATTACTCTCTCACTTTTTCTTCTTGTGGTTAACTGGATTATGAAAATCTCTACATCTTAGGGGAAGCACGGAATGCAATGGACAGCTTGGATGCGATCGGACTATTTGTGCTTCACAGATGGTCCATCCCTTCTATCCCATAAACGTGCAGGTAAAGACAGCCAATGTTGCAGCAGTAGGCCTCAACGTATACCAGGGAAAAATCAAGATGTCGAAATATGACACAGTCAGCACCAACCAAGTCACGTTTGATGAAGTAGCTCTGGAAGAGGTGGAACGTTTTACGTACCAAGACAACGTCATCGATAAGCAAGGAGGGTCTGATGCAGATGCAAAGCGAGGGTAGCATTGCTACAACTAAAGAACCTGTGGAACTCTGAACAACTGTCTGCAAGCCAACATCAAAGAATCCTCAATAGAAACGTCAAGACAGTCCTACTGTACGGAGATGAAACGTGGAGAACTACTAAAACCATCAAAAAAGTTAAACTATTCCTAAACAATTGTGTACATAAGATGCTCAATGTCCATTGGTCGGATACTATGGCAGAGAAAAAACCCAGCTATTATCTGAAGAGGAAATTAGGAAAGGATGCCGAAGGTATATAGGACACATATTACGGAAGTGATCAAAGGCAAAAGGAAAAGAGACATACCAAAAAACACATTGCGCTGGGAATGGGAGATAGTGGTCAAAAGAATAAATAACACTTAGAAACAACTGGAAAAGAGAGCTCAGGACAGAGTTGGTTGGAAAATCCTGGTCGTTGGCCTATGGTCAATTCGGTAAGGTAATTTAAATTACCAAATGCTAAAAGACATTTTTATTCAGGAAGTGATTTCTTCGGCCATTGACTCACCATATGTGACATAAGCTTCTTCTTTATTAGAAATATTTGAAGTGGTCAACATTTTAGACTATTCAATTGGTCCATCCGCTGAGCACAGTATAAATATGTTAACTAAGGATAGATAGCGCTACTCTAACTGTGCAAATTTACTTAATAAAGAGACTGAGATAATGTATTTAGAAAAACTCACTGTATAGCGCAGTCCAAAAACAAAGTTTTCTTTGGAGGATACTAATGACACCTTTGCTATCCTTACACTGTCCAATCAAGGTTTTCGGAAGACGACAGTCTGTTTAGATTTCATTCTAAAAAGAGTGCGTTTTTTGTGTTATCTAAACCAGTCAGATAACGTTCTATCCAGAGACAAGTTCCTCACAATTTATGATTACTTGCAAAAGTATATTTATCAGTCATTTAACTAAACGCAACGTAAAACCTGCCATATTTGTACAACAATTCAAGCTGCCATACCCTAGTAGTATAGTGAGATAAAATTGTCAGCGAAAATCCTAAAGTGGTAGAATCGACGGTAATAGGAAAGATTAGTCATCGAAGATACGATTCCAGTAGAAAATATAAATCACTGGAAAAAATAAATTTATAAGGCATTAAGAAACCTAGGTTCTGAATGGAGACCAAAAATTGAAGGTATCTGTGGGACTGTCAAAAAAATTTTTAAGCCCCATCATTTACAGTCTAATCACTGGATACGGCAATCACGGGGACCCTAACCAGGTAGTGTACACCTACACTTACATGGCTTAGCCCAACAGTCAATGTCTTCACGAACTGGTCACACGTCTTGGCTTTCCCACCCGTAGCTATCTTCCAACCTATACCAGCCATCGTCTACCGTCGAGGCAGTCAGTGGATTGGCATGCGCAATATATGTCCTATTCACTATGTCATTCGATATACCCTATTTACCTGTGGGACAAGAAGATGGATATTGAAGAGCGAAAATCCTTTCGAGTAATTTAAATATAGTTTCATTATATTTTTTAATTAGCATGCCTTAAAAAATAAAACCTCAATCGAAATAAGTTACTATTTGCTTATTATTTATAAATTCTAGACATTTGGAGCTGTGAATATCATATTATATGATGCTGATGTATGCATACAGTTGGCTGACTTTCTTAATATATATATATTCCGTATTGGTCGACCATCATCTATGCGTCACAATAATAAAAATACACCCGTAAAGTCGTCAGTTCAAGACAACACTTACAAAAATTCACTTCGTACACGAAATAGTTCTCGTAATTGATAATAGTTAAGAAATTTTTTTACCAGGTACTTTGTATTTCTGTTTTCCCCAAAATTTACCATTGGTACATATGAATGTATACAGTACAAAATTATACACAAAACACTTTCATTTAATTTTGACTCATTCGAATATATATATATATATATCTTTTTATGTGTACAGTAAGAAGTAATCGGAATCTCAGTTTTGCTTATTATTCTCAGAACATCGTGATTCACGAAATGATTGAATTGAAAGTCAGTTTCGTTTTTCGCTGTACAAAAGTTTCTATTTATGCGGTTGACAAAGTCCGCGTAGTTTGTAATTTCCATGGCTCAAGATACGTATGAACTTTTACAATTGACTGCATAATTTCCACCTATTTATCTTTCCCTTTTTCTTTATTACTTACTTTCCTTGTGTTTTGCGCGCCATTTGTACCAGTCAAATTAGTTTATTTTTATAATTATTTATTTATTTCTCTGAAAATAAAGATCCACATTTACGATTATCTGTTTCCCATTTGTCTTAAGATTATGTTGTATATGTGTATACATCAAATCCATTATTAATTCCTGTTAAAATAGAAAAAAGATAACATGCCTGGTTTTCTTTATACATACCAGGTTTCAATCTACGTAGCTTTCTGTTGTGAGTTTTTGTGTGTATTTGTAGGCATTGTTGATTGTTGTACTTTTTTTCTTAGATATTTCCCATATCATGATTTACTTTTATTGTCTGTAGAGTTTTTTGTATTAGAGTTTTATCAAGCGGATATGCCATGCAATTATCAGTTGATAGTAAAGCTAATTGACACATACTTTATTTTGTGTATGAGGATATCGGTGACTTATCCTTCTGCTCTTTCTTTGTAAGCAATTATTTAGTAGTTTCTGTAGTGCCAACAGTCCATTTCACGTACAATCTTTACATATTCTAAGAAAAATATACGTAATAAATGCGGTAGAATTATGTTCCAGGCTTATTGGTCATATTAGTACTATTAGCATATATATATGTATGTAAACCTGTCTATCTCTTGGCTTTTAGTGATAGGTTTTATTTACAAAACGTAAACAGATTGCTAAACAGTACAAAAAGAACACGGTTTATAGAATGAAATAAATTCATTGTATGTACGATTAGTAATTATACAAGTAATAATAAAATTATAAACATGGTACATGAACGAGGAATATTATTTTCAATGAATTCTCTTCAGGTTCTACAGTTATATCTCCCGATTAAGACTCTAAAAGTGGACTAGGTTTAAGGCAAAGTACATCGTTTCAAAATTATAGCATGTGAGTTTAAAATTGATCAAAGATGGATAGTGGCTAGCAGTGGAATCCAGGACGCGCGTTTCGTCTCGTTTGGGACTCGTCAGCTGGATGTACTCGTACCTCATAGTTGATGTTCACTCTGGGACTCGAACTCAGTACCGTTCGCTTCAAACGCCATCGCGTTATCCACTTAGCTACTGAGTCCTGATGGCCACTTGCTTGTGCAATGGGGTGAAGTTTAATTCACTTTGTATTGTTTTACTTGAATCTTTTCACTGATGTTTTAGGACTGAAATTGATCAGTCTCTTATTGGCATATGTGCCAACTGAGCGTATGCCTCGATATTGCCTTAATTTACAAGCATTATAAGCAAAGACGAGTTCCAAACAGGACGAAACGCGCGTCCTGAATGCCACTGCTAGCCACTATCTATCTTTGCTTATAATGCTTGTAAATTAAGGCAATATCGAGACATACGCACAGTATGCACATATGCCAATAAGAGGCTGATGAATTTCCGTCCTAAAACATCAATGGGAAGATTCAAGAAAAACGATACCAAGTGAATTGAGTTTAAAATTGTTTGTATTGTTAAATAAAATGAAATCATCAATGTTGGGATGACTGATATGAAGTGTTGATTTCAATAAGCTTATACGCTATTACTATTAATATAATGCTTGCTAACGTTTTGGAGAAGTTTATTCACCATCAATCTCTTTATACTAATTTGTACTTCATTCATATCATTCTGTGTATTACGTGATTTTTAATTTGTAATTACATTATTCTCTCTCAACCCATGCTAACTATGTTTATTCTGATCATTGTTTATCTCACAATTTCATTTTATGTATGAACCAAATCAAGTCAACACTTCATAAGAGTCACCTAAACATTAACGATTTTATTTTATTTTACAATCCTTAATTCATATGCTGTGATATTTAAATTATGTATTCTGCCATAAACCTAACCACTTTTTGGATAATTAATTTGGGTATATAATTGTTGAACCTGAAGAGAATTTATTGAAAAGACTATTCTTTGTTCACGTGTCTGTGCTTTAATATGATGGGAATTTTCTGGTAAAGAAAAATCTATTCTCTAATAACAATTATAAATAAGGGTTTAACATAATCAGTTGTGTTCGGATGAATTTTCGAAATGGAACTAAAGTTCAAGAGGAACATGATACAGGAAATATGATTAATATATATTTCAGTGATTAATATGTATAGAGGTTAATAATAATGATATAGAGAAATAGGGATGATGTTATGCTTACTAATAATTAAATCGTAAGAAAGAGTGACGAAATTGCAATCAAAATGGTTGTATGATCACTTAACAAAGAAACCAAGTCATTTATGTGAGCAGTGACAAAATTGTTTCGCAGGGGTATTTACTTGATTACAATTATAGTCATCATGGCAGAAGGTATATCACGCCGACTTTCCGTAAACAGGTTGGGAAGTTACTGAGATGTTATCTTCAATGAACTTCCTTTTCATCGTGCATGTATTATTTCAGATATTAGTAACTAAAAAGTCATAACTTATTGAACATACACATTCATGAGTACTACTGGGATCACCGGGTAAGTAATAGTGAGGTTAGACACAGGGTATTAAGGAATGATAGTAAATCAGTTGATGAGGTTATGAATCTTCATCGACTGAGATGGTTGGGCCACGTGTTACGTATGCCCAAACACCGATTACCACGACGTGCAATGCTGACTAGTGTTGGGGATGGTTGGAAGAAAGTTAGGGGCGGCCAAACCAAAACGTGGCATCAGTGCTTGAAGACACTAACTTCTAGTCTGAGCCATGTTGGTAGATGCAGACTACTTGGTTGGGGTCCGCGTGACTTTCGTAACCAATGGTTGAAGGCTCTTGGTGACATGGCTCAAAATCGATCACAATGGTGTCGGTGTATACACTCCCTGTCTTCCCTTAAACTAAGAGATTAAAATCGCTTCATATCTTTCTTTCTACGAACCAATTCTTTCTTCTTGTACTATATCTTTATATGCAATCTTTCTCTTATATATTACCACCTTTGACCTAACCACTGCTATGAATCCGGTGTTCATCTCGTTGTGCTGATGCGGTATGGCAACCTGGATCGATGCACATATGTGCCTGGTCCTACGTTGTAGCTGACTGACTGACTGCTTGGGGATACTATAGGACCAATGATACGTGGGATAATATATGACGTCATGTTATTAAGCTACGTTCAGTTGCCTTTTCATCCTATCATATCATTATACTAATTTCCTTCCCCACTCTACATATGTGAAATGTGGTGACTCAAATCGATACAAATCGGTGACAGATAATATGTTAATTATACCTCATTGATTGAGAAAGTATTCATTTGATTTACTCCTCAATTATGATACTTTTGTTCGTTATACTGTCAACTGACTTGTTCCATTGTTTGGTCTGATGGAAACTAGCTTTATGAAAATGAATTTCATTTTGTAGAGGCATTGCAAATACATTATCTGTTGAACTGGCCACCTCCCAGTTTTCTCTACACCACAGACGAGTCGGAAAATAATTATCTATGTACATATTCCTGTGAATGCATTTCCAACACACACACACACATACACAAGCCATTCAATCAGGTGTTTCAACATAGGAACACTAATTGGGTTGTCGTCAGTGCTCACAATTATGTACTGACGAACCTACACATTACTAACTGGTATTCCTAATGCACGTCAGCAATCATACACAGACGACGATGGTTGAATATAGAATGTCATCGAGAACTCCTAACTGAGGAATGTTGGTTTTCACGATCATAAAACGAAACTGCTCTCAGTGATGTGTTGAATAGTCAGTGTACAACAGACAGACAGACTAACAGCATGACATGTATTGCTAGCTGGTGTATGAGTAGATTGGAAGCAAGCTCATCATCATCATTGCTATTAATGGTTGGTGACGTTGAGTGATATAAGTCAGGATTGGTCATGATAGCTTATATGTATTGGCTGCTTACCATGTTGCAATGTGGCCACCAGTCTAGGTGACTCGACACTGCGTGCACTATGTACTGAGATTGGATGGTGGTTGGAGGCAGTCGACAGGAAACCCTGGACTGCACTAAGTAAATGCTTGACACACATGACATTGATCACCACCCAGTGATCAATCAATTGTGATTACATCTCAGTCCTACAGGACGTCGGACGCGGCCCGGATAGCTCAGTGTTAACGTCTGACTGTGAAGCTGGGTGACGCGGGATCGAATACGCCAGGGAGCACCGGTTCCCTCAAGATTACAGGCACACCTTGTTGACGAGTGCCAAGTAGCACGAAACCGGGGTCCAGGGTTTCCTGTCGACTACCTCCAACCACCATCTAAATAGCGTTGTTCCTAGCCTGTAACTCGAGACGAAATTGTTACTGAGCTTGAAATTATACCAAAATTGTTAAACGAACTATACAAATTGTAAATTATGTAAAAGAGACGAATTCAAAAATTGGTGTCAAAATAAATCTATTTAAAGCAAAAAACTTAACAAAGTGAAAGGTGTAATTGGCTTATCTTTCTGCAGTTCCAAATCTTAATAGGAGAACCTTTATGTGCTTCTTTTGTATAAATATTTTCCCCGTACGAATAAATAATGGGCATGCAATATTCGAAAAAGACGTGTTATAATATTAACATTATTATGTATCTACTAGTCCCTCTTTCAAACCACGAAGAATCGTTTATCCGAAACCTTTAGAATTTCAGCGAATCAATTGCTGCCGAATTCCACCTTCATATGTAGTATTTCTTTAGTGTAGAGATTACACATTTTGTGTTAGATTTACAACCTACATTCTTGTCTCTAAACTAATATTTTAGTTTTTATTTCTCTCAATACACCAGTTTCTTTTCTATATTGCCAGTTCTTTGCATTCAGGCGAATAGAAATGTGGTTAGACTTATATTCCGGTTATTGGAAATCCTACTTCAGAAGTTTTCCAACTGGATGTTGGATGGAGGCCTTCTGTAAATAGAATTAATCAGTGTTATTTTGTGTATTTTTAAGAATTCCTTATCAAGATGATAAATGTTTAGTTCGTTTTCTATCCCAATAGTGAATTTGATTGGATATTAACAGATATTGAATATTAATAAACTGTTTCCAATCACAAATACTATAAGTATTACATCCAAACCTTTTATAATCATAGAGATGATTAATTGTGGCTTTGAATCTATTATATTTTAAAGAAATTATGAAATGATTTTATAGATGTTTCAAACATATTCACTTCAGAGCATATCTGAACAATTACACACCTAATTACTTTAGTATTATGTATTTTCTTTATTTTGTTTTCTAATTAACCGTACATCTTTATTCATTTTGTCAATTTCATAAAATACTATTTCTTAACAACCGATACACTAATCTAATTGCTAACATTGATTAAAATTAA